TCCGCATCTGGGGTCCCACTTCGTGCTGGATTTCAGATAACCCTCCTCCCATGGCTTCATCCGCGCGAACGCACCCACGGCCACAGCATCGGCAGCTCTTGCTCCCCGTACAGCACTGTATTTATTGTAGTCTGTTTGTATTTATCTGCAAAACTGGTGTACCACTGCACCAAGGGGTTCTTAGCTTCCTTTTTTATTTTCTTTAAGGGGCTCCTGTTACCATTTTTAAGCACTGCCCTTAGCAGCAGGTCTTAGAAGGCGTCCGTTCTTTACTGATTTTGCACAGCTCCAAGATTTTTAGGAACACTTATTTACATTACAGCGGAACTGCCTATATAATGTAAAGTGCACAGCACCGTGCATAATACTTATTAAGCATTTAATCATTTTAAAAAATCATTTAATTTTTTAAAAAGTTATGTATCCAGTAAGATTAAGATCAACGTGGTACTGAGTCGCCATGGAAAGTATGTAGGAAGCATTTAGAATGATAAAGAAAGAAGTTTTAGGAATGAAACATGGTATAAAACACACCTCTGCATTAAAACTTTTTTTCACCATAGGGGCGCCTGGGTGGCTTAGTCTGTTAAGCGTCCGACTTTCGCTTAGGTCATGATCTCGCGATTCGTGCGTTCGAGCCCCGCGTCGGGCTCTGTGCTGACTGCCAGCTCAGAGCCTGGAGCCTGTTTCAGAGTCTGTGTCTCCCTCTCTCTCTGACCCACCCTTGTTCACGCTGTCTCTCTCTCTCTCTCTCTCCTAGAAATAAATAAAAATTTAAAAAAATTAAAAAATTAAAAAAATAAAAGTTTTTTTCACCATAAAAACTGATAAAGTCTGGAAGGAAATATATCAAAATGTTAACAGCAATGGATGGAACTTAGGGTGGGGTTTTTCTTTTTAACCTAAGGGGGGAAAAAAAAAGTTCTTTGTATACTCCCAGTGTTGCAAAATCCTAAACCTTTTAACAGCTTAAAGGTAACAAAAGATCAGAACCAAAATAGTTTTCAAGAAGCAGAAAAATGGGGCGCCTGGTTGGCTCATTTGGTGGAGCATGTGCCTCCTGGTGTCAGGTCTGTGAGTTCGAGCCCCACACTGGAGGCAGAGGGTACTTAAAAATAAAATCTTTAAAAAGAAAAAAAAAAAGGCAGAAAAATAATCTCAGACTGCTAACTCAGTTCTTAAAGTTTATTTTTATTTTGAGGCGCACCTGGGTGGCTCAGTCGGTTTGAGCATCTGACTTTGGCTCAGGTCATGATCTCCCGGTTCATGTGTTTGAGCCCCGTGTCAGGCGCTGTGCTGACAGCTCGGAGTCTGGAACCTGCTTCAGATTCTGTCTCCCTCTCTCTCTGCCCCTCCCCCACTCACACTCTGTCTCTCTCTCAAAAATAAACAATTTAAAAAAAAGAAAAGTTTAGTTTTATTTTGAGAGAAAGAGAGAGAGTGAGCAAGCATGCACAGGGGAGGCTCAGAGAGAGGGAGAGAGAATCTCAGGCAGGCTCTGTGCTGTCGGCGGGGAGTCAACACAGGGCTTGAACCCACAAACCCATGAACTGTGAGATCATGACCTGAGCCAAAATCAAGAGTCTGTCACTCAACCGACTGGGCCACCCAGGCACCCCCAACCTCACTCTAGATGTTTGCTCACTCAGTGCTCAGCCCATGGGTACCCACACTGCCGCTGTAATGGCAACCACAACCTGCTTAAAAGCAGCTTCGTTCCACTCAGCAGGATATCAAACACGCCCTCCCCTTTCTATGTTGTCTTCAGAATAAAGATGGTTTTTAAGAAATTTGAAATGGGGGCACCTGGGTCGCTCAGTCAGTTGGGCAGCTGACTTCGTCCCAGGTCATGATCTAGGAGTTCCTGGGTTCGAGCAGCCCAACAGCTCTGTGCTGACAGCTCAGATCCTGGAGCTTGCTTCAGATTCTGTGTCTCCCCTCCCTCTCTCTCCCCCACTCCCCGTCTCTCTCTCTGTCTCTCAAAACTGAATAAATGTTAAAAAAAAAAAAAAAAAAGAAAAGAAAGAAAAAAAAGAATCTTGAAATGATAGAAGACAAGAATTTTGAAACCACCTATATATTGAACATTTGCTTTGTATCTAGCAATGAGCTAGAAATGATTTTTTAATGTTTATTTATTTTGAGAGAGACAGTGCAAGTGGCAGAGAGCAGAGAGAGAGAGAACGCGAAGCAGGCTTCACGCGGTCAACACAGAGCCCGACGTGAGGCTCGATCCCACAAACAGTGAGATCATGACCTGAGCAGAGATCAAGAGACGGATGTCTAACAGGCTGAGCCACCCAGGCACCCCGAAATGATTTTCTTTTGAAGTTAATTTGCATCCCACAGGCACTAGGTGAGAAGGACCCTGACTCTGCCAAAACTAATCCAACTCTCCTCTTTCTCTCCTGAGGCCACATGTCAGTTTGTCAGGGAGAAGAGGGGAAAAGTGATACCCTACTTTGAGACTGCTAAAGGTTTAGGCTTTGAGCTTCTGCAAGACTCATCAGGAAACCTGTAATCAGAGTCGTGTCCTGACAAGCATCTGACAAATTGGGATTTCTAAGGCTTCATACGTCACAGAAGTCCTCAGGAAGGACTTCACCACACTGGGTGCCAGGAGAGCCTGCTCCTTCTAAGACAGAAAGAGGAGCCACTACTTCCCCAGGTCCCAGCCAGCTGGTTCCCCTGGCACTGTGTCACAGCATAAGTCCTGGTCCCAGCCATAAACCCTAGATGGGAACTGCAGCCTTGGCTGCCACGGTGGCCACGCCAGGGAAGGATGAAATGGCAAAGAGTTATGGTCCCTGATTAGAGTCTTTAGTAAAGCCAACACCTGCTCAACTTCAACGTCAAGGGACCGAGCAAGCAGCACTTCAGAATAGGAAGCCTGGGTGACAGGGATGGCCCATCCAGGATCAGTCTTCCTTAGCTGGTTACTAAGCAAAGCGTCAAACTGAAGCTCAGAGCTCTGGGTTCTAGTCCCTTCTTCTCCCAGGGCCCCAGTGTCCCCACACATAACAGGAGGTTGGGCTGGATCAGCGGGTCACACCCTAAGTCCAAGCAGGTGATCTAATAAACTGTCTAGGTATATCAGCTATCACACAGCTCCCTCGTCTTAATCACAAGAAAATCATGGCTTCTGAGGTGGTGTGAGGGAGTTTTACCCGGCTAAAGCAGGCGGAAATGACAAGCGAAACTGACAAGGGGAAACCTTACCAGCATAAAAGCAAAGTTCTGCATTTAGGTTTGAAAGAAAATGAACCATATCGAGCCGGGAGACGCTGGGCAGGGAGCGGGACAAGACTGCAATTGAAAGCCTAACAGACAAAAAAAAAAAAAAAAAAAAGCCCATCAGCGAGAGCCGACAGCAGTATGTGCTAAAAACACCAACTGAACCTTCTGGGCAAAAAGGATATAGCCAGCTGACCAAGGGTCCAGCTGCCCTCAAGGTGGTCAGGGCACATCTGGAAGAGCGGGCTGACTGGACAAGGCATCACGTCCAGGAAGAGAGCTGCGAGGCTGAGGGCAGTCCCCCGCGGCCACTAGGAGGAAGATGCAGCCATGAGAAGGGTAAAGAAAAGATGTGCCAAGTAAAGAATGTGCTGGTGGTCCTCAAAGAGGTGCAGAGCCCTCAAGCAGAGAAGGGGCAGCAAATCAAGGCAGCCCGAAAGCCATGGGTATGAGTGAGACAGGGGCCTGCTTCTCCAACCACAGGGCCTCGGCTCCGGTGGGGGGGTCCCACCCTATAACAGGAAGTGTGGCCGGAGGGGAGGTGGTGAGGTAACAAAACAGGCACCCACAAGGGCCTGGCTGGCCTCAAAACTGCCTCCAGGAGCAGTACTTCTCACACTGTGTGCTTAGCAATCACCTGAGCATCTTGAACACGCAGACTCTAATTGAGCGGGGCTGGGGCGGGTCCTGCACAGCGGCATTTCTAACAAGCTCCCAAGTGATGCTAATACCGCTCCCCTCCAGGGACTACACTTGGGTAACTAGGCTCTCGACCACTTTCAAGGCAAGGATCAAGTCCTGATCAGGTGATCCAGCCTCTCAAAGAGCAATCCTAGGGTCAGAGTGATACAAACTACTGGAGCCCCCAGGGCGGTGATGGTGCCTAGGGAAGGAAGACCCCCTACTGGGGGATTCTCTCAGTAAAGGTTCAGGAAATGGAGATCAGGGAAAGGGAGGAGTCAAGCCCTATGTGTTTGGGTCCCCAGCACAACTCAGCATCTCAGACTTGGTTCACAGGAGCAGGAACCAGACAATGACCTGCTGCAAACGTGTCTAGAATTAATCAGCTCAGCCCCACCCAACATCCCTCCACAAAAGCTCTCTGCCCCCTTATTCCTCTAGGGGAAAGGTGACTGCAGACTGGAAGGCTCCCCGGCTGTGACTCACACACACACACAGTCAAATCCGATCCCCGCAGCACAATATTCACAGAGCCCTGACCTCCCCTTCCTTCTGCCCAGCCCGAGCCCACCTTTCCAAGCCCAACATCTCACTCTAGGGCCACCTCCTTTCCTGGCTCTGGCTCAAGCTCAGGTGTGTCCCCAGCTCCACCGATCCCAACCCTCTCAGACGCGGCCAAAGTTTCTCGGTCTCCACGCCTCGGCATTCTCACAGCATCTGTGTGGCCTTAAAAAGTATGCCTAGAATCCGTCTTACGGCGGATGCCTCGGCTCGGATGCCAAGGTCCTATAAGCGCCCCTTTGTCTCCCCCTGCGGCGCCGAGCGCGGTGCCGGACGCACAGGAAGTACTCAGAAACGAGCTAGGGGCAGCAGCCGTACCCAGAGGGGGCGCCCAGCATGCAGGGACCAGCTGGGATGAGGGAGGGTCTCCCCCAAAGAACAAGAGTCCCCAGGACGGGAGCGCGAGACCCCGAGTTTAGGGCCGGCAGCCCTTCTGAGCCGGGGCCAGGGCTGATCGCGGCTCGCGCCCCTTCCTTCCGGAGACGGTCCACGCGCCCGGGGCCACCCATCCCCAGCGCCCTCACCTTGTAAACCTTTCCGAAGGCGCCGTCGCCTAGCTCGCCCACGATCTCCCACACTTCGTTGGGGTCCACGTCCCGGCGGACGTGCTCATATTCGCGGGACTTTCTCTTCTCGAAGGTAGACAGGCGCAGGATGCGACGAAAATTGGCGAATGCCATGGCTGGGGGCGCGCGAGCCGGGGGGCGAGGTGGCGCCGGCTCCGGCTCGGGCTCAGGCTGTGGCTCCGGCGGCCGCGAGGAGGAGGGGCTGGAAGACGCCGCGGCGCTCGGGGGTTCTCCCCAGACCCGCCCTTCCCCGCAGCCCGACCCCGGTCAAGTGCGCCCCGGGCTGCGCGCGGCTGGAGCACCCGGAACCGCGCAGGCGGCCGCGGTCCCCGCCCCCGCTCGGTCCCGTCCCCGGGGCCGCCTCCCAACTGCCCGCCCAGCTCGCGCCGCGCCCCCGCCGAGCCCGCGAGTCCCGGGACGCGCTCCGGGGACCTGGCCCCGCGCCCACCCGCGGCTCGGCTCCACCTGCCGCTCCCCGGCAGCGCCCAAAGACCCCTTAATTGGCTGCGGGCGCTCCCCGGCTCCGCCCGTCGCCGCAGGGCACTCTGGAAACTGTAGTCCCCTGCGCGCCGCCCGCCGGCCAGCTACGCGCTAGGCTTTAACAGAGCTTAGAGCATCCCTCGGCGGGACCGGCCCGGGTCTACGAGGCCAGCCGCGCCCGCGTGGCTCTCAAAATGTGTGTGGGGGCGAGAGGGGCGGCAAACTGGCCTTCGCGAACGCCCGCTGATTTGTTACCCAAAGGCCAAGAAGGTGAAGGGCATCATTAATCACGCAATCTGCCCCGCAACTACCCCGCAAGCCTGCTCTGCTCGCGCCCACTTTTCAAGTGGGGACTCCCGGCGGGCAAAGGCACCAGCCTCAGGCTGCACATCCTGTTGGCGGATCCTGTGCGGTTTCCTCGGCGCGGTGCTGCCTCCTAGTGCACGAAATGCTGCGCCCCTTGCGGCCGCCGTCAGTCCCTGGAGGTCCGGACTCGTTTCCTGCTTCCCAGGGGCTCCCCCCCACCCCCACGCCTCCCCACCATCATCCACAAACCCGTCCGCATTAGAGGGCTGGGAGAAAGAATGCCTTGGGGACTTAATTATCACATGCTTTATGCTGGATCTCAAGGTATATTTGCATAGTAAGTAAAAACTTTCTTAGTCTTAATTTCCCAATTTTAAAAAATGAGCTCATCACAGATAGAACTGAAGTTTTCTTTGACCACCGTCATCTTTGATCCTGCATGTTTGACTCGCTCCACTGCCACTGTACCAGCTACTGTTCACTGTCTATGGGACAGTTATGCTTTTATCTAAATCTAGAAGGTGGTTCTGTGAAAACTGATGAAAGGAAACCTCACTAAATTGGAGTCCTGAGGCTGGAAAGGGGATCTGGCAGCACTTAATGCCAATGACAGAAAGAATTGTCAATTGCAAAACCCAACATAAGAATATTCAACAGGAGGGGCGCCCAGGTGGCACAGTTGGTTAAGCGGGGACTTCAGCTCAGACCCTGACCTCAAGGTTCATGAGTTCGAGCCCTGAGTGGGCTCTGCGTAGACAGCTCAGAGCCTGGAGCCTGCTTTGGATTCTGTGCCTCCCTCTCTCTCTGTCCCTCCCCTGCTCACTCTCTGTCTCTCAGAAATAAATGTTAAAAAAAAATTTTTTTAAAGAATATTCAACAGGAAAACCATCAATTACAGGGACCAACAGGGAAAGATGCACATTGCGTCCTGGGGAAGAAGTTCACAATTCACTACCCTGGTAACTCATCAGTGGAAAACTATTATCACCCTGACTGCTTGCTTTTCTCTAATGAGATTTCCTTCCAAACAATTCCTCCCAACTTTCTCCTTCTCCATAAAATAAAATTCTTTTCCTTTGTTTGTTGGAGTTGCCTATGCTTTTCCTTTAGCTTGCATGACCTGAACTGCAATTTTCTTTTATTCTTGTATAAACCCATGTTGCTGGTTAAAAAAAAAAAATAGCTGCTTTATTTTTTAGATTGTATTTCCAAATAAAGCATGCTGAGGGGTGGGCAGCCTGCAAAGATGATCATAACTCCCTACCTCATAATCAAATAGAATTTCAGAGAATGTCACTCTCCAGGAATCCCCACCCCTACAGAGAAGGCCAATATTGAGAGGTTTTCACCCTTTCTTGAGCCGGGTGCACGTGTGCAGTGTAGTTCTTAGTTTGGAAAACTAACCACAGAAGCCTGGGATGCTGGTGTGGGTCTGCACAAAGGATTCCGGGAGTAAAGTTTGCCAAGAGGTTTGAAAGATTCCAACACCTCACTGAGCAGTTAGAAATATAGAGGGTTTTCATTCATCCACATTGTTAAGTGAAAGAAGCCCAATACAAAAGAACATATATAATTTCACTGGTACGAAATGTCTGGAAAAGGCAAAAGACCACATATTTTAAGGTTCTATTTTCATGAAATATCTAGAAAAGGCAAATTCATGGAGACAGAAAATAGATTAATGTTGCTATGAAATGGGGATTAACTGTAAATAGACATGAGGAATCTTACTAGGATGATGAAAACATTCTAAAGTTGAATTTTAAGGGCGTGTGGGTGGTTCAGTCAGGTGGGAGTCTGACTCTTGACTTCAGCTCAGGTCATAATCCCAGGGTTATGGAATCAAGCCCTGAGTTGGACTTCAGGCTGAGTGTGGAGCCTGCTCAAAAAATTCTCTCTCTCTCATTCTCTCTCTCGCCCCCTCCTACTCCCCCATTCATGCGCACTCTCTCTCTCTAAAAGTAAACAAATAAAATTATGGAGATGATGATACAACTCAGTAAATTTTCTAAAAGTCAGAATTGAGAGGTGCCTGGGTGGTCAGTCATCTCCTGATTTGTGCTCAGGTCATGATCTCACAGTTTCTGAGATCGAGTCCCATGTCAGGCTCTGTGCTCACAGCACAGAGCCTACTTAGGATTCTCTCTCTCCCTCTCTCTCGTCCCCTCTCTCTTTCTCTCTGTCTCTCTCTCAAAATAAATTACATAAGTAAATAAATAAATATCATTGAATTGTACACTTGAAATGGGTGAAGACTATGATATGTAAACTATACTTCAATAAGATTGTAAGAAATCAAACAAGGTCAACAAAACTAGAGCAACATCTCAGAAATAACTAGTAGACTAGCCAAAAAAAATTAAAAAGAATTAGAGGAAAAATATTCACCAGAGACAATGAAAAAAGAGATGTAATATTAGGTACTAGAAAGACTTTTAAATCACAAAATGATATTTCAAACAAATTTATGTGAATAAATTTTTTAAAATTTTAAAGTGATCTCTTCACCCAATATGGGGCTCAAACTCATGACCTCGAGATGGATTTGCACACTCCTTGACTGAGCCAACCAGGCACCCCAACATATAAATTGTAATCTACATAAAATTGGTAATCGTGTGCAAGAAAATATACATGATATAAATAAATAGTATATGCAAATGACGTATAAAGATACATAATTTCTTTTTTTAACGTTTAGTTTTGAGAAAGAGAGTGCAGGGGAGAGGCAGAGAGAGAGGGAGAGAGAGAGAATCCCAAGCAAACTCTGAGCTGTCAGTGCAGGGCCCGACCCAGGGCTCTTTCTCACAAACTGTGAGATCAGGACCGGAGTGCAAGTCAAGAGTCGGAACCTTAACTGACTGAGCCACCCAGGTGCCCTATAAATATACATAATTTGAATAAGAAACAAAAGCCTGAATAAACTAATAACCAATAAAGAAAATAAAAAATCAAAAGTCTATAACCTACTGAAAAACATCAGGTTATATAGAACTACAAATAATTTCTCCTTATATATTATTTTTGTTTTGTTTTGTGTTTTGTTTTTCTCTATATAAATTTTTAAATGTTTATTTATTTTTGAGAGAGAGAGAGACAGAATGGGAGCAGGGGAGGGGCAGAGAGAGAGGGAGACACAGAATCTGAAGCAGGCTCCAGGCTCTGAGCTGTCAGCACAAAACCCGGGGGGACCATGAGATCATGACCTGAGCCAAAGTCCAACACTTACTCGACTGACCCACCCAGGCACCTCTTTATATTTTTTAAGAAGATAGGAAAAAAAGGAATTACACTCATTTTATAAAATGAGATTTACCACAACTAGATAAAGACAGTAAGAAAAAACTTATAGACTAGGTTCACTTATGAATTAAGTGAGAGAAAAATAAATTACTAGCAAGATGAAACCAGAGGTGAATAAAACCATCACGACCAAGAAAGGTTCATCCAGGAATATAAGTATGGTTTTACATCAGAAAATCTATCAATGTAAGACATTGCCGTTGACAAAGGAAAAAAGAAAATCAAAGTCACACAGACACACAAAAAGCATTTGACATCATTCTTAGGTTATATTCCCCTGGGGGAAGGATCAGGCTTTGGCTACAAGTAATTTACTTGGGAGGTGATGCCAGGAGGCACCGGTAGGGAGTTGGAGGCATGAAGCCAGTAAAAGATGCCCTTTGGGGTGCCTGGGTGGCTCTGTCAGTTAAGCACCCGACTTTGGCTCAGGTCATGGTCTCCCAGTTCATGAGTTCAAGCCCTGCATGGAGCTTCACACTAACAGCAGGGAGCCTTCTTGTGATTCTCACCGCCCCCACCCTTGCCCTTCCCCCACTCTCTCAAAATAAACTTCAAAAAAAAAAAGAAAGAAAGAAAGATGCACTTTGTTGCTGCTTACTACTGCAGCCACCTGGGGCTAAATCTCACTGGAGAGTTCTAGAGCTCAGGATACAACACACCAGAGTCAACCACGAGAGAGGCAAGGAAATGGGAATTTTTCCTCCAAGCCCCATCTGTCCTAGGCCAAAGGCCGTTCCCTTGGGCAGCACTTCCAGCACGTCCTGCTTGAGGGACAAGAAAACACCGCCAAGTGGAGAGATGTCACAGGGCTTTGTACAGCCTCTACTACAACAGTCCTAACATTTCTCACTGCTTATCCTTCCTTCCCTACAGCATTTGCTAGGGGCTCCAGCTGTATGTTAGTTACACCAGAACCGTGAAGGTGGGCGTTCTTGTCTTGTCCAATATTTCATGGAAAAGGGTTTAAAGTGTCTCCTCCAGGTAAGATATTTATGAAAGAATGGTGGCAAATGATCTTTACACAA